CCGTGGGGTCCCAACGCGGACCCCTCCAGGGAGTGGGGAGGCGGCCGGGGTGCGTCGCCCCGCCCTGCCCATCCCCCCACCTGCCGGACCGCTCCGGTGTCCGGGAACGCTGCCAGGCGGGGCACCCCAGATGCGCGCCTACCTGGGTGGGCGAGCGGGCGACCTCGCTCTGGCCAGCTCTGTATTTCACGAGGCGCCAAGTCCTGCCTCGGGCGCCCCACCCCCCATTTCACTTTTCTGCCCTTTGCGGGGCCGCGGGAAGGGGCCGAAGAGACCACTCTGTGCCCTGCCCGGAGCTGGCGCTGAACGGTGGTTTTATTCTTGTTTGCTTTGTGCTGTAGCCAGTGCCTGCCTAGCGCGACCATAACTCATCCCTGGACACAAAACTGCCTCCCATCGGAGGCTCTGTGCTGCTGGGGAAATTCCTCGAGACTCCGGGAAGCTTGATGATCTTCAGGTCTTAACTCTGTTGAGCCAGAACAAAGGGAACACTCACTTTCTCCAGCTGCCTGTGGCCTCTCGTTACGCAGGGCCCGGAGCTGGACCATGGTCCCCAGGGAGAAGCCGCGCCAGGTCTGCGAGAGTAAGTCCTGTGTGGCCAGTTGACACCCGGCACCGGCACCTTCAGTGGGCTGGTCGTGCTGGGAGCCTGGAGGTAGGGAAGCAGCCAGGGGCCCCTTGGCCTTGGGGCGTGGCAGGCAGCCCACTGGGGCAGGGCTCCCCCCACCTCCATGAAGCTTAAGGGACGCTACGCTTCCTTCCCTCCCAAACTTCACCGTGGTGGGAGCCTGTTTGGAAAACAGCAGCGAGTTTCGGGCTGTGTGGACAGATTTCCCAAATGCAGGCACAAAAGAAGGACACAGAATCCCAAATTAACTCCAGAGAACCAGGTCCCAGCTGCTGGCAGCCTCTTACAAGATTTCCATAAGTTAATTGCTCTTGTGGCTTTTGTTTTTTTTTCTTCTCTTGCCTAATTTCTGTCTCTTGTTCCTAAATTCTTTCATAAATACTGTCATGTGAAAATTATCTTGGTGACTTTAGCTACATAACTGGCGAGGCTTTGTTAGATTTATTTCTAGAACAGAGAGGATCTCATACAGGGTCTGTCTCTGCCTTCCCCTCTGGACCCCACCGGACACCTGGTGTTTCCATGGTTACAAGATAAATTGATCACTACCCTCCCCTAGGCTGGCTAGAGCATCATAAGTTGCTATGGTAACTTAACAAAATAAATGTAGGGTTTTTTTTTTTTTTTCCCCAGCATCTGTAGGCAGAGCCTGCGAGCTTGGATTTCTTCCTTTCTTATTTTGTTTACTATTCTTGTTTCCTGTGGTCAGTTTATTCCTGTCAACAGATGTTCGGGCACCCATTACACACTCAGCGCTGAGCTGTCACCAGGAACAGAAACATGCAGTGCCAGTGAATGTAGACAGCCCAGTGCACCATTCTTATGGCAGATCCTCCCAGTCTATGATGCTCACCCTGTACCACTAAACAGATCAGGAGACCAGCCTCCCAGGCTGAATACTTCGTCCAGGACACACTGTTGGTCAGGAGAGGCGGGTTTCACATCTGGGGCTAAGTATCTGCACAGGTGCTGGTTTCTGCCTTATTCTTCACCCCTGAGAAAGAAGGGGCAGGGTAGACATCTTTTTTTTAAATTTATGTATTTATGCATACAGAATCGGGGTACAGGCCAGAGGTGCAGGGGCGGTGAGAGGATTCGCCAGAGGCAGAGCGGGGAGCAGAACAGGCAGATTGACAAAGTTCCCTGCTGAGGGGAGCAGCGGGCGGGTCGGGAGAGGCCTCCCGCGCCATGTGGGTCAGCTCCCTGGCTGGGGATCGAACTTAAGAAGAGGCTGCAGCTTCACAGTGCTTTAACCGTTGCACCACCATGGAGGGCTCAAGGTAGACATCTTTAAACTGACCGCCTTTCCAGCTCCCCCCAGAAGTGCTGTCCCTGAGATGCACTGTGTTCACAGGGGTGCTTTCTGGCGGTGTCCTGCCCCTGTGTAGCTGCAAGGGCAGGGTGTTTACCCCTTATCTGCAGCACTAACCGGGCCTGGCCACACCGAGTGCCTCCCATGTGCATGAGAACGCGTTTGGTACCTCGCCGGGCTCTCTGCCTGGGGTGCACCCTGGGGTGAACGGCAGCCCCTGACTACACCGCCAGCTTTTGAGAAAAGGAAGGTTTTATGGCAAACGAGTTGGCAAGCCGGCAGGACAGAAACTCAAATCTGTCTCCTCAGTTAGGAGAGGCGTGAAGTCACATGGGCTCGGAGACTGCGGTTAAGAACAAAGGCGTTCACCTTTACCGAGTGAGGAGTGGGCTGAGGGACAGGAATTTGGACTTGACTGAAGTTCACCGGCTAGTTCCAGGC